AGGCGACAGCTCGCCCCGCTAGGCCTCAAATCGCTGGGGCGTGAGGGAAGACATCACCTCAGCATGGCCCATCCCGGCCCCGCCTCAGCGCCCGGGTGTCCGAACGGGTTGGAGTGTCGATGCGCATCCTTCTTCCCCGAGTTCCACCGTGTGGGTGCTGAGTGGTCATAGTAAGGCAGGAAACGTCCTTCTAGTACTGCGTCCAGCTCTGGGGTCCCCAGCATGGGACAGGCATGGACCTGTTAGGAGCGGGTCCAGAGGAGGGCCACAAAAATGGGTAGAGGGTTGGAGCACCTCTCCTGTGAAGAAAGGCTGAGAGAGTTGGGGTGGTTCAGCCTGGAGAAGAGAAGGCTCCAGGGAGACCTTATGGTGGCCTTTCAATATATAAAGGGGGCTTATAAGAAAGACAGAGACTTTTTCTCAGGCCCTGTTGTGGCAGAATAAGGGGCAACAGTTTTAAACTGAAAGAGGGTACGTTTAGATTGGATATAAGAAAGAAATTATTTATGACAAGGATGGCAAGACACTGATACAGGTTGCCCGGAGAAGCTGTGGATGCCCCATCGTTGGAAGTGTGCAAGGTCAGGTCAGATGGGGCCCATGCCAGGGGGGATGGACTGGATGATATTCAAAGGTCCCTTCCAACCCAAACCATTCTGTGATTCTGTGGTCTTGTGAATAGATGAGAGTTTAGATCTAATGAGGAACCCTCCAGTCACCCCTATCACTTGGATCAGATATGTTAACACACACCTTTCTAAAGAAAATATTTTTTTATATTCTTAAAAATATTTCCCCTGCAGTGAGTGATAGGTGATCAGAAAGATAGATTTCTTTGGTTTTGTTCCTAAAGCCTTGTAAAAGCCGTGTGTGTTTATGCCGTTAATGACTTGGGGGAGAATGGGGAAGGGGGCTCTTGTGGGTCATGCTCAGCTAATGTATGACCAGCAGTGCTTCTTTCCCCACAAAGTGCAAATGGAGGACACGGTGAATGTGGGGCAACAGGTGTGTAATTTCCTTCTTTCTCCCTATTTCAGTAGATTAAATCCTTCACTATACTGTGGTGAAGAGGTGTCGTGGTTTAACCTGGCTGGCAACTAAGCAGCACGCAGCCGCTCGCTCACTCCCCCCCCCTCCCTCAGTGGGATG